TATATATATATATTTAGTTTTGATTTGTTAAAAACTTACAATTCCTGAACTTTTCTATGTAATATTTTTGGACCATGGTTGGCCACCAGGTTACTGAAAACATAGAAAGAAAATTACAGATAAAGGGGGACTACTGTATTAGAGTTTTTTAAACATATATTTTAAAATTGTTTGTAGAGATGGGGTCTCACTACGTTGCCCAAACTGGCCTCGAACTTCTGGGTTCAAGAGCCTCCCATCTCCACCTCCCAAAGTGTTGGGATTACAGGCATGAGCCACTGTGCCCAGCTTAAGAGTTTTTAATTGACAAGTAATAATTGTACATATTTATAGGGTACAGAATATTTGATTTTATCTACTAGTGTATGTGTGGTTTTTTTCTTTTCTTTTTTTTTTCTTGAGATGGAGTTTCTCTCTTGTTGCCCAGGCAGGAGTGCAATGGTGCAATCTCGGCTCACTGCAGTCTCCACCTCCCAGGTTCAAGTGGTGCTCCTGCCTCAGCCTCCCAAGTAGCTGGGATTACAGGCACACGCCACCACACTTGGCTAATTTTTGTATTTTTAGTAGAGACAGGGTTTCACCATGCTGGCCAGGCTGGTCTCGAACTCCTGACCTCGTGATCCGCCCGCCTCCCAAAGCACTGGGATTATAGGCATGAGCCACCGCACCCGACCCAACAAATATATTTTTATTGAGATACAACACTATTTGGTGGCATTTAGTAAATTCACAATATGTTGTAAGCATCACCTCTATCTCATTCCAAAACATTTTTATCATACTGAGAAGGAAACCCAGTTTACATTCAGCAATCACTCCCACCTAATCCCATGCAACAATTAACCTACTTTCTGCCTCTATCGATTGGCTTTCTTTGAATACTTTTTTTTTTTTTTTTGAGACAGGGTCTCACTCTGTCACCCAGGTTGGAGTACAGTGGCGTGATCTCTGCTCACTGTAACCTCTGCCTCCCAGGCTCAAGTGATCCTGACTCCTGAGCCTCCCAAGTAGCTGGGACCACAGGCACATGCCACCATGCCTGGCAAATTTTTTGTGTTTGGTAGAGGTGGTATTTCACCATGTTGCCCAGGCTGGTCTCGAACTCCTAAGCTCAGGCAATCCACCTGCCTCGGCCTCCCAAAGTGCAAGATTACAGGCGTGAGCCACCACACCCAGCCTGGATATTTTTTATAAATGAAATAACGTCATATGTGACCTTTTTTTCCTGACTGCTTTCATCTAATATATTATCAAGGTTCACCTGTGTAGCATGTGTGAGTATGTCGTTCCTTTGTATGGTTGAATAAGATTTTGTTGTAAGGATATACCACACTTTGTTTCTCTACTCATCAGCTGATAGACATTGCTACAAAAATAAGTAGTGGCTATGGTGGGGCATGTCTGTAGTCCCAGCCACTCAGGAGCCTGAGGCGGGAGGATCACTTGAGTCAGGATGTCAAGGCTGCAGTGAGCTAGGATAGAGCCACTGCACTCCAGCCTGGGCAGCAGACCTTTTCTTTTCAGCAAAGAAAAAAGAGGCCAGGTGTGGTGGCTCATGCCCATAATCCCAACGCTTTGGGAGGCCGAGGCAGGTGGATCACCTGAGGTCAGGAGTTCAAGACCAGCCTGGCCAACATGGTGAAACTCCATCTCTACTAAAAAATACAAAAATTAGCCGGACATGGTGGCGCACATCTGTAATCCCAGCTACCAGGGAGGCTGAGGCAGGAGAATTGCTGGAACCTGGGAGGTGGAGGCTGCAGTGAGCTGAGATGGCACCACTGCACTCCAGCCTGGGTGACAGAGCGAGACTCTATCTCAAAAAGAAAAAGAAAAAAGAGGCCAAGCATGGTGGCTTAACGCCTGTAATCCTAACACTGTGGGAGGCCAAGGCAAGAGGATTAATTGAAGTCAGGAGTTCGAGAACAGCCTGGCCAACATGGTGAAACTCCGTCTCTACTAAAAATACAAAAATTAGCCAGGTGTGGTGGCACACACCTGTAATCCAGCTACTTGGGAGGCTGAGGCAGGACAATCACCTGAACCCAGGAGGTGAAGGTTCCAGTGAGCTGAGATCACGCCACTGCACTCCAGCATGGGAAACAGAGCAAGACCGTGTCTTGAAAAAAAAGAAAAGAAAAGAAAAAAGTGAGAGTGCTACTCTAACAGGAAAGTTGGCCGGGCGCGGTGGCTCACGCCTGTAACCCCAGCACTTTGGGAGGCTGAGGCGGGCGAATCACGAGGTCAGGAGATCGAGACCGTCCTGCATAACACGGTGAAACCCCGTCTCTAGTAAAAATACAAAAAATTAGCCGGGCGTGGTGGCGGCGCCTGTAGTCCCAGCTACTCAGGAGGCTGAGGCAGGAGAATGGCGTGAACCCGGGAGGCGGAGCTTGCAGTGAGCCGAGATCACACCACTGCACTCCAGCCTGGGCGACAGAGCAAGACTCCGTCTCAAAAAAAAAAAGAAAGTCAGGGAAGACACCTGTTCGGGGAAACAAAACCCAGGCTCGAAGGAAGCTTGTGCTTCCCTCTGTGAACGAAACGGTCTTAGAAACACCTCCCCAAGCCTCCTCCTCCCATGCGGGTCGTCTGTCCTGTGGCAGCCCCACCGGCTCCTCCTATCAACCAAGGCAGAGAGTGGAAAAGCTCCTCACGCTCTTCTGCTTCACACACAGTGAACAAATCCAAACCACTCTGCCCCCGTCGCTCCTCACCTGGCTCCACCTGTGTCCCCTGGTCCATCCCCACAGTCCAAGCTCAACTGGAGACCGAGGACGCCCTGTCTGTGCACTGCGTCAGCCCCCTCCTGGCCCCCTACTCCCGGCTCCCATCCACCCCTCTCATCACTTCCGAGGCCTCTTCTGACAATCTCACCTGGCTCTGACCCTCCACTGCTCAAATTCCTTCGACGGGGCTCCATCTTCCAGAAATAAGATCCACGTTCCTGTACCTCATGTTCAAGCCTGTTGATGACCAAACCCGATACGCTTTCCAGCTTCACAGGCTATGGCTCCCGCTCTGCCACAGCAAACTCATCACAGTCACCCACCCCCTGCCAGACACACACACCCTCCGTTATTGAACACTTGTGAGTCTTCTGATGGCTGCTTCCTGAGCCAATCTGGATGTAGCCGACGCCTCTGCAGAGCTCTATGATAAAGACAAGCCCTCCTGCCTCATTCCACTCAACTGCAAACATATTTGTGTCACAGGTCATGGGGAGTCCACGCAAACCACTGAGAATCCTTATTAGCACATCACCTAGCGGTGGGGCTCACGATGCAGTGTGGTTATGGTTAACCGTCAGTAAAACCCTCCATATTGCATTCTGTGCAGTGTTGGGCTTGTATAAACAGATGTCTGTTTCTACTGTGCTTTCTAAAGATTTCCCATTTTCTTTTTTTTTTTGAGATGGAGTCTCACTCTGTCGCCCAGGCTAGAGCGCTGTGGCACAATCTCGGCTCACTGCAAACTCTGCCTCCCGGGTTCCAGTGATTCTCCTGCCTTAGCCTCCGAAGCAGCTGGGATTCCAGGTGTCTACCACCAGGCCTGGTTAATTTTTTATATCTTTAGTAGAGACAGGGTTTCACTATGTTGGCCAGGCTGGTCTCGAACTCCTGACCTCATAATCCGCCTGCCTCCGCCTCCCAAAGTGCTAGGATTACAGGTGTGAACCACCGCGCCCAGCCAGATCTCCCATTTTCTTAAACATATAACATCCAATAAATCTTCATGGTGCACAAGACCCCTGAATGACAAGGTCCCAGCTTTCTTTGCCTCACTCTCAGGTCTGAGAACAGGCCACACTGTTTCTGGTGGAGGACGCCCTCCACGCACCACACTCGCTGTTCACGCCTTGGTCTCTCCATCCCCTAGAAGGACCCCTCATTCCCGTGACCAGGTGCACGCTGCTCACCTGCTATGGGCATGTTTTCCTCCTTTCCTACAACTTGTCGAAACTGGAGCAAAATTACCTCCTGTCTAACCATGGGTAATGTGTCTTTAGTAACCCAAGCTCCATGAGTCCAGCAGGAATCCTATCAGCTTCACCCACAAGTCCTCTCCTCCTGGCGGCATGCCTGGATGTGGTAACCACTCGATAAACCGCCTGATCGCGAGGCTGATGAAAGAAAAGATGCATTACAGAGCTCAGGACACGAAGGGACCTGCCTCTAGAGTTAGAACAGTGACTGGGCTGTGTCCTAAGGCCCTGCCCTCTCTGGCCTCATGTGCTAGAACAAGGGTCACCCCTGGATTTGAGTTGGGTGAGGTGGAGGCAGGCAGAGCTTGGGGGAGTCAAAGGTGGTCTAAAAGGCCCCCAGAGCTTACTGTCCCCACAGCCCCATCCTTCAGGGGGAGCCGAGCAAGGCCCTGGGGGAGGGGCTGTTCCCCTCCTGCAAGGCCACTGATGAGAACCCATGACCTGTAACACAGAGCCCAGGGCTCCTAATACCCAGCCCGCCATGCTCTGTGCCCTCCAGGCTCTGTGCCCTCCATGCTCTGTGCCCGCCATGCTCTGTGCCCTCCATGCTCTGTGGCTCAGTGCACTGCTGGGGACCATGACAGGCAGGGTCACAACCTCCACCCTCATTGCCCATCTCCCTGCTGTGTGTCCAAGGAAGCCTTAGGCGGACACGGGGTGGTCGGCGACCCCAACCTTCATGGGCCAGAAGCCCAAGGCAGAGGCATGGAGTTGAGACCGGTGAGAGGTCTCCCTGCAGGCCCCAGAGAGAGTGTGCATCCCCTAAATACCAGTCGCCTTATCTCAGGGGCGTCCAGGCAGCCCTCAGCCCTCCCTCTCAGCACAGCCGGGATCGCTGGTGCTCTCTGGAGATGGCCTGATCGCCCAGTGTCACTCAGGCCGGTTTTGACAGCTCTGCATTAACCAGGACAAGGGGCTCCCAACCCCCGCCCCGACTTCCTCCTGGGCCCTGTGAGCCACCCCCATGGGGGCCGGCACGGATGGGATGCTGCGGGATGCTGCGGTGGACACGATGCCTCCTGCCAGAGGTTGGCCCCATCACCCCCACCCAGTATGCTGGTTGCAGGTGAGGGGCCCCTGCCCAGCCCCCGTCCCGCTCTCTGCTCAGACCCTGGGCTCAGGGTCATCCCTGGTGATGAGGGTAGAGGAGGGAGAAAATGAGATGGGGGCAGTGGTCCAAGGAGATCACCAAGAAAGGGGGAGCACGAGGCCCGGAGATTAAACAGACCCACGCAGGCCGGGCACTGTGGCTCACACCTGTCATCCTAGCACTTTGGGAGGTGGGTGGATTGCTTGAGGCCAAGAGTTTGAGATCAGCCAGGGCAACATGGTGAGACCCGTCTCTACAAATTTTCGAGATGGAGTCTCCTCCCTCTGTTGCCCACTTGCTGCCTCTGTAGGCAGAGCCCTGAGGATGGAGACCCGTTTCCTCCCCAGCCTGCAGGCTTCTCCCCAGCAGAACCGCATACCTCACCTCCCACTCCTCTCCCCCTCCAGGCGGCTGCATCTGGAGCTCTGGGGGAGCTACGCCCAGGTGGGCCACCACCTCAGACCAGACAACTGCACTCTCTTCCTCCCAGGGGAGCTCCCAGAGGAGCCCAGTGACTACGCTGCCCTGGCCATCCACTAGCCCACACAAGACCCAGACCCCACGCTCCAAGCAAGACCACAGTGAGCCCAGACGGTGCAGCAGCTGGCCCCATGGACGTCCAACAAGACCACCATCACTTCCCAAGTAGCAACCGAGGGAAGGGCCACCACCTAGCTCGAGTAAGCGGCAGTGGACTTCTCCACGTGGTTTACAGCAACTCAGCTGTGTTCCAGAGCCATCCCTGCACTGACCTCCAACCCTGAAGGCCTCCAGACAAGAACCCAATCAGCTACAGCCTGCAGCCTGAGGGGTTGCACAAGTTCAAGTTTCTCACTTCCTCAGCAACCAAACCTCTTCCCAACACAGATGATCAACAAGGCCGAGAAAAGGGAAGCCTGCCAACCTCTTGACCGTGAGTCCGCAGAAGCACCAAACGCGGATAGGAGGAAGAGTTCCCTCAACGCCCCTTCCCCTACACGAACCCACTTCCCCTACGTGTGAAGACAAAACCGGAAACTTGCCCAACATCAACCACATCACAAACAAGCTTTGAAACTGGCAAATTCGGTGAAGTGCTCCCCAACAAAAACAGTCACTAACAGTTCACCGTCCCCAGCAACCAGTCTCAGGCCAGCTCTGCTCCCCCTGTCTCTTGCTGGGCGGGGTCAGGGTCCCACGGCCACAGACAGGGCAGGCCCCCACCTCCACTTGCTGCCTCCCCTGCCTGGCATCAACAGGCTCCCTCCCACCCCTATATGCAAACGCCGGCTTACTTGGAATTTCCATCTGGTTTTCACTGTTTTTCCCAAAAGACCATTGGTCTCTCCCCTGATGACAGAAGCTTCTGGTAAACATGTGTTCAGTACTGTGGAAGAGTAGTACTGAGAGGCTGGGGACCACTGTCTGGTAGGCACGCTCCTGAGCCTCCCAGGGAAGGCTGCATGTTCAGAGCAGGGGAGAGTCAAGGAGACACCCACACACACCAATTGTAAAGCGCTGATCCTGTTTATTTGGCAGGAAAACTAGACAATCCAGCAGCCCAGGAGGGAAAGGTGGGCTTAATCCTCCTCCTCGTCGTCTCCAGCCCCGGCCCCACCCTGGCCCTTCTTGGCGTTCTTCCTCTTTACGCGGCCCGGGCGGCCACCCCCATAGGGAGAGCGCAGGGAGAAGTCGATGTGCTTCTGGGAATCCAGGCGGACAATGAAGGACGGGATATTCACCACCTGCTTGCGGACCCTGGAAGAGGCGACAAAGTGAAGTGGACTGGAGGAGAAACGGATGCTAACCCCAGCTCAGGCACCACTCTCTCCTCTTCACCCACCCCATGAGGCTGCCATGGCCACAGACACCAAGGCACTGTGGGAAGGGCGCTCCTGATCCTATGGGCCTCATGTGAGTCCAGGGTTTGAGGGTATCACCTTAACCCCCAAAAATGCTTCAGGTGAGTTTCTCAACCACATTTTCTAGGAGAAATTCAAAAGTATCCCACCTAAGACCACAAAGCAAATGAGGTGGCCCAATAAGAGCCCAGGTTCCGAGTCTGAAGCATCCTGAACCCCACGCCTGACACTGAGCCGCATTACCACGTGCGGCAGCAATGCCCACAACAGCACAGCAACCCGGGGCTACGCTGACACACGACGCTCTGCCTGCGGCTCACAGGCTTAGTGAAGGGCTGGGGCGGAGATTCTAAATGCTAACATCTTGCCCTCTTCCTGTACAGCTCCTCCCCGTCAATGGTGCCACGTTACAGGAAGGGCACACTGAGTACCCAGAAAGCAGTCATGGATTAGGGTCTGGAATCAGCTTCATAAACGAGTCAGGAGACAGCTGAACCCACCACCCGAGCGAGGAGAGGCTGGTTCTCTCCCTCCACTGGGGACACCAAGAGCTGTTACCTGTCCAGCTGCCCACATGCCTGGCAGAGGCCTTCACAAGGTGTACGGCTAGAGCCGCAGTGACCCTTGCGCTGGGCTATTGGGGCATGAGGCTGCCCCAGCTCCCTGGTGAGCTGTGTGCAAGGGTGAATCTGTACCCTCTGGGTGAGCTCACACCCATCACTTCCGAGGGCTGCATAGGAGATAGGACAGCAGGCTTAGTGAGGGCAGCCACCAGACGGGAGGCGGAGGAAGGTTCGGGCGCCCATCAGAGGTGGTACCTGATATGGCGCTGGCGGATCAGCACGCGAGCATGGTGGATGGACTTGGCCAAGCCCAGCTTGAAGACCTGAGTCTGCAGGCGTCTCTCTAAGAAATCCTCGATCTTCAGGCCCAGGATGTAATCCAGCTTCATCTTGCCCTCATCCAGCACCCCAATGCGGACCAGTCGCCGCAGCAGGGCGTTGCCTGGAAACAGTGGGAGGAAGCACTGATTCAGCCTTCTGACCTCTGGCTTCTTGGGTTCAAATCCTGGCTCCACCTCTTCGTAGCTCCATGTCACGGTGGTGAGACACAGGTAGTATTAGCACCAGTCACTGTGACCCATATCACTGTCAAAACTATCCTATAGGCTGGGCGTGGTGGCTCACGCCTGTAATCCCAGCACTTTGGGAGTCTGAGATGGATCACTTGAGGTTAGGAGTTTATGAGACCAACCTGGCCAACATGCCGAAACCCTGTCTCCACTAAAAATACAAAAAATTAGCCAGGCTGTTGGCACACTGCCTGTAATCCCAGCTATTCAGGAGGCTGAGGAAAGAAAATTGCTTGAACCCTGGAGGCGGAGGTTGCAGTGACCTGAGATGGGACCACTGCACTCCAGCCTGGGAAACAGAGTGAGATCCTGTCTCTCTCTCTCACACACACACGCACACACACACAAAAAAAAAAAAAAAAAAAAAAAACCACCCTATGGGTGTCAGGCCATCATCCATAGTAACCTGCAGGTGACAGGAGGACAAAATATACCTGCCTCCTCATCTGAAGGGTGTAACATCACTCGCTCCACATTCTTAGCAACAGTAAAGGAAATCATCTCCTTACAAGGACTCAGTCTGCAAAAGACCAAGTGCAGCTACTATTAAGCTACTACCACCGTTAACAAAGCACAGTGGTTTAGAGTTCATATTCTGAGTCCAGAAAGCTCTTCTGATTAACCAGATGTGAGATTAAATCACATTCCCTATGCCATAAATATCAGTACCTACACCTTTTAGGGAGAGAAAAGAAATTTCTAACACTAGAATTTTTCCAGCTAAGTACACGTCATTCATTTTACTATTCTGTATGAAATTTTCCACTAAAAATATACACAGTATGTATATAACCTAACAACACACTGCATAAAATATCCAACAGATGTCAGCTACTACACCCCAGGCTCAGGACGACTTGCTCCTTACCCTGTCCAAAGCCATGGCTTCTAGCTAATACTCTGGACTCCCCTGGCCCACCTCCCTCAAGGCAAATGCCTTCCTGTAGGATCCCACTCACTGCTATAATCCCACACGCGTTCAGCAAATCAACTGCCCCTTGACACTGGGGTAAACAACTCAAACTTTTTTCCTTATTATGTGCACTTTTATAAAAAGTGCCTCTTACTAGTTATAGCAAACAATTCAAGCAAGCTTTAATAAATAGACCCACATTCATCAGGCACTTCTGATATTCCTGGCACTGTTGTTACCCTCCAAGCAAAGTTTGAAAGAAAGCTAGCTGACTTTGTGAGGACCCAAAGTCTTCCCAATAGGGAGCAGTTACAAGTAGGAGATAGAATCCAAACAGAATCACCAGCTGTGTACCTTTCCAGCATCCTGTGTCATGCTATGGCTTCAATTTTTGTTCTCTTTTTTAATGCTCAACATCAGAGGATTTTTAAACACCTGAATATCAAAATACAAAAACATGTCCAAAAGGCAATGAAAACGAGTTTGGGATCATTCACCTCCTTGGACACTTCATGCCTTTTTGTGTTTACATTAGAAAATAGAAACTTCAGCCAGGCACAGTACCTTATGCCTGCCCTATAAACCCAGTATTTTGGGAGGCTGAGGCAGGAGCATCGATTGAGTCCAGAAGTTTGAAATCAGCCTGGGCAACATAGTGAGACCCCATTTGTACCAAAACAAAAAAAAAGGAAAACTAAATTAGCCAGGCATGGTGGTACATGGTGGATTGCAGTCCCAGCTACTAGAGCTGAGGAGGATCACTTAAGCACAGGCGGTCCAGGTTGCAGTGAGCCACGACCATGCCACTGTGCTCCAGCCTGGGAGACAAAGTGAGATCATCACCATTAGGCAAAATAAAGCCATGATTTAAAAAGAAAGTGTTTCACATTTACTATCATTTTTCAGACAAGAGTTTCCCTCGTTGCCCGGGCTGGAGTACAATGGTGGTCTCGGCTCACTGCAAACTCCGCTTCCCGGGATTCTCCTGACTCAGCCTAGGATTACAGGCACACACCACCATGCCTGGCTAATTTTGTATTTTTTTTAGTAGAGACTAGGGGGTTTCTCCACGTTGTTCAGGCTGGTCTTGAACTCCCGACCTCAGGTGATCCGCCTGCCTTTGCCTCCCAAAGTGCTAGAATTACAGGTGTGAGCCACTGCGCCTGACCCACATTTATTAACCCATCTATCTCCTGAAAAAGAACAGAAGAGTCAACCACAGGCAAAACCTTTAAGTATGAAGACAATAGTTTTCAACAGCACAATAAACCTTACACCTTCAACAAAATCACGTCCTGCTACTGAGTACTGTTACACGGGCTCCGCTGGGCCAATGCACCAAGAGAATTTAAAATGCTTTAAAAATGCAAACCAGGGAGGACCTCAGTGGGAAACAGGTCCTTGTCATACAAGGCAGGTATTACAACGCCTTCATTTCTGATCTGAAAAATGGATATGATTTCTACATTTATTCACAGTTGTGCTGAGGGTGGAATTCCTGATTTTTTTGTTTTGAGATGGAGTCTCGCTGTCACCCAAGCTGGAGCACAGTGCCGCGGATTCCGTCTCCCAGGTTCGATCAATTCTCCTGCCTCAGCCTCCCGAGTAGCTGGGATTACAGGACCAAGACCAGGCCCGACTAATTTTTGTATTTTTAGTAGAGATGGAATTTCACCATGTTGGCCAGGCTAGTCTCCAACTCCTGACCTCAAGTGATCGGACCACCTTGGTCTCCCAAAGTGCTGGGATTACAGGCATGAGTCACCGCGCCTGGCCTCTATCTGTTGGTTAACTGCCAGCCAAATGTTAGCGGCTGTTCAGTCTTTTAACAGATGAGACTCAGAATGTCGCCAGTCACACGTTAGTGGGAAAGGCTGGATCTGAATCAAGGCAGGATTACACCAAAGAGCAAACATCCAAGCTCCTCCTTCCCGTCCCTGGCTAGGCTAGAGGGTTTCATTTACTAGAAAGTGTACTTACCTGAACAGCTGTCTACCCCCTGGGAATTTTCACTTCTGCCTTGGAAAACCACAAATATCCCTCTGACACCTGCACCGCTTTCTCACATGACTAAGTTTCATTGCGATTAGGCTCTATATTCGGAAAGTCCTCCCTAAAACCAGAGCCAGCTGTAGCCCACTCCCCACAGGACTCTGGGAGAAACTCCCACCCACCAGTATCAGTATCCACGGGGGAGGGATCTCCAGCACTTTCATGAGATTGTCAACGGGGTCTACAAATTGACAAAAAGAATGAAAGGGTCAGGTGCACTATTTAAGGCTGAGGCGGAAGGATCACTTGAGGCCAGGAGTTGGAAACCATCCTGGGCAACAATGCAAGATCCTGTGCCTATTTTTTTTTTTTAAAAAAAAAAGCTTCTAACATCTGCAAGCCCGGGTCAAACTGCGATAATCTGTGACTAAGCATGCGCCGGGACCTTCTCAATGCCTAATACGGATGACCACTCTCATGCCTCACAGTCAGGGCTCAGGTGCAGACTGCTTTTCACCACAAATCATGACTACCCAAACTCAGGCAAAAGCAGCGTCTCAGGATATACTAATGCCAATCTTGGTCATGCCAATCTGCTGTAGAAAGCACTCCAATAACACTACATCTCAGAGTAGATTTTAAAACAAAATGGTTAAGATGACCAACTTTCATGTTAATGTCTGTTCCACCACAATTAGTAAAGTAAGCCTAAGTCTATATGATCTGCATGCCCTTCTAAAGTCATCACCTGAAATGCTGTTCCCTGAGACATTTTACAGATTATCTCCTGTTCAGGCCTTTGCTCAATGCCATCTACATGTCCTTAACCAGCTTAATAAAGCAAGCACCAGCCTGGGCAACATGGTGAAACCCCGTCTCTACTAATACAAAATTAGCCGGGCGTGGTGGTGCATTAGCCTGTGATCCCAGCTAACTGGGAGGCTGAGACTGGAAAATCGCTTGAACCAGGGAGGCAGAGTTTGCAGTGAGCGGAGACTGCACCAACTGCAGTCCAGCCTGGGCAACTGAGCGAGACTCCGTATCAAAAGTAAAATTAGCCGGGCGTGGTGGTGTGCCTGTCTGTAGTACCAGCTACTTGGGAGGCTGAAATAGGAGAATTGTTTGAACCCAGGAGGCAGGGGTTGCAGTAAGCCGAAATTGAGCCACTGCACTCCAGCCTGGGCGACAGAGCAAGACTCTGTCTCAAAAAAATAAATAAAAAAAATTGTTTAAAAACACAAAGCAAGCAAATGTGCAAACCCTGTTATCACCATCACTTATTCCAGAAATTCCACTTCATAGTCTACTCTCACCACCAGCAAACAAAACAGACCACATAAGCAGGACTGTTTTGAGATACCATGTAAAGATACAGACAGGTGCCCAAATGTGCAGGCCTATCTTTACCTCTGGTCATTACTAAACTGAAGGTCCAGTAACTGGGCAAAAAAGCCACACGCCTAAGAAACAGGACAAAGACTTTCATCCAGTTCCACTTTTCCTGCTCCACAAGTGCCATTAAAACACTAAGTTAAAAGGCTGGCTCCATTTGTCCAATGACACAACCCATCACTGGAACAGAGGCGGAAGAACGGAGAATGCCCCTCACAAGCCCTGCGCCCCATCGCTCTGCTGTGGATTCCCACACGTACCTTCGAACAGACGCCGTGGGTCCTTCTCATCAAGCGTCAGCAGTTCCCGGGCGGCCTTGCGGATCTTGGCCAGGGTAAATTTGACCCTCCAGACCTCACGTTTGTTCCGGAGCCCATACTCGCCTGGTGGGGAGAAGAGAGTGGACAAGTGTAAGGGAGTGGACAAGTGTAGTCCCACGTACTGGTACAAAAACTACCCTGGCAGCTTTGGATACACAGAACCTTCCTAAACCACGAAGAGTACCAAATTTAGGGCGCCTTCATCCACGTGTTACCCGCCTCCCGGAAGCCGAACCACTACCCAGAAGCCTTGGCCACTCACCGATCAGCTTCAGCTCTTGGTCGAGACGAGATTTCTCAAAGGGCCTCCGCGGGGTCACGTAAGTTTTGCGACAAACCCAGCTCCGGGCCACCGGCATGTTGGCTCTGCTTACCCGTCTGCGCCTGCCCGGGAGGGAAGCGTGAGCCTAAGAGCTCCGGGCGGCGCCTGCGCAGTCCCACAACCACGCCAAAACCTCGCGGCGCCCGGATTGGATCTCGCGAGAATAACCTCCAAAGCTCTCATCGCCAGTATCCTCCCCCACTACCGTGCTGTACTCCCGTTCAACCACCCTACTCCAATCCCTAATGCCTTTAGCTTACTCATGGAAGCTTGGAAGGCCCGCGCGACCATCCAACCCAAACCCTAGCGAAAAAGCACACCACCATACCTTACCTAAGCGCAAGACCCGGCCACTGACAAAGAGGCGCGCAAGCGACCAGGCTACGCTCTTATAGTAACGCCGGCGCCTCGTGACGTCATCACGCACCAGGCACGTCTGAGCCAATCAGAAGAGGCGTTGGCTGGCTGAGAAGCAGTAGAGACGTGAGGCTGGGCTAGAGCGGCGTGCTAACCTGGGAGGACTAGGTTTCTTCCGGGCAAGGAGTAGAAACCTGAGAAGCGGGGAGAATCATCCTTCTCCGTCCCTGGACGGTGGTATTTCTCTTTCTTTCTGAGACAGGGTCTCGCTCTGTAGCCCAAGCTGGAGTGCAGTGTTGTGATCTCGGTTCACTGCTGCCCCGACCAACCTCTCGGGCTTGAGCTATCCTCCCACCTCCTCCCCAGTAGCTGTGATTACAAGCACACGCCACGAGCCCGGGTAACTTTTTTTTTCTTTTTGGTACAGTCGGCGTCTTGCCATGTTGCCCAGTCTGGTCTTGAACTCCTGGCCTCGAGAGAACCTCCCGCCTTGGCCCCCCAAAGTGCTGGGATTACAGGCGTGAGCCACCGCGCCCAGCCAAGATTATTTCTGCCACTGACAATAATGTGGCATTATGGAACGCTTTCTATGTGCCACATACTGTTCTAAGAATTTTAAATGTATTTACTCAATCTTCAATACATACTTATGGAGCACTCTCGGAGAAGTTGCCCTCCCCTGTGGTACTATTATCAATACCCACTTAAGGAGTATTAGTACTATTATCAGTAATTTATTTATTTTTGAGACGGACTTTCCCACTTGTCACCCAGGCTGGAGTGCAGTGGCGCGATCTCGGCTCACTGCAAGCTCTGCTTCCCGGGTTCAATCGATTCTCGTGCCCCGAGTAGCTGGGACTACAGGCGCCCACCACCATGCCTGGCTAATTTTTATGTTTTTAGTAGAGACGGGGTTTCGAACGCCCGGTCTCAAACGCCTGACTTCAAGTGATCCACCCGCCTCAGCCTCCTAAAGTGCTGGGATTACAGGTGTGAACCACCGCGCCTGACCTAGAGTTCTCTTTTTATATATAGTCTGGTTATTGTCCGCTTGCATACCCATCTGTCCACACCGGATGCGATGATCTGTCTCCACAGCTCCTGTTCTTCAGTTCTCTTCCCTACACTGCTGCCTCGGCAGTCAGTATCCCCTCAGGAAGCTGTCCTACCCACCCCTTTCTCTTCCACCGCATCCACACCATTCGGATGCCTGGATTCAAACGCCATGTCACCACTTGCTAGTTGCAGTGCCTTCGACAAGTTTCTCAATCAATCTATGCCTCAGCGTCCTCCTCTGTAAAACGGGGAATGATGGTAGTGCCTACCTCATAGGCTTATTTGTGAGGATTAAGTGGGAGTCTATCCAGTGTTTAGGAAACTGTCTGGCGTAAATAAAGCGCCTAGTGTTAGCTATCATCGTCATTATTGTCATCTGCATTGTACTTCCATATCTTACAAACTACCTTGCTCAGTTTTATGGGGTTTTGTTTTGTTTGTTTTGAGATGGGGTTTTGCCATATTGCCCAGGCTGGTCTTGAACTCCTGGACTCAAGTGATCCACTCGCCTCAGCCTCCCCAAGTGCTGGGATTACAGGGGTGAGCCACCATGCCCGGCCAAATTTTATGCATTTTTGTATCTTGAACACGCGTATACTATTCTGTAACTAGAAACAAATGCCAATCACCTGGTGAATGGATAAACAAAATGCACTTATGTCCATAAATGGAATATTCAGCAGTAAAGAGGAACAAAGCTGGCCGGGGGGGCGGTGGCTCATGCCTATAATCCTAGCACTCTGGGAGGTTGAGGTGGGTGGATTGCCTGAGCTCAGAAGTTCGAGCCTGGGCAATTATGATGAAACCCTGTCTCTACTAAAACACAAAAAATTAGCCTGACACCGTGGCCGGCGCCTGTAATCCCAGGTATTTGGGAGGCTGAGGTGGGAGAATCGCTTGAACCCAGGAGGCAGAGGCTGCAGTGGGCCGAGATTGTGCTACTGCACTCCAGCCTGGGCAACAGAGCAAGACTCTGTCTCAAAAACAAATAATAATAATAATAAGCAAGGAAGAAGATGCACATGGTCAGTTCATGAGGAAGCTGCAAAGTTGGACCTTTGGGTTTCACTCTGAGATGGAAAACTCCAGGCGAGTTTTAGACAGAGCTGTGACATGGTCTGACTTAACTTTTAATATGATGATTCTGGCTGCTCTGTTGAAAACAGACAATAGAGGGGCAAGAATAGCAGGCAGGGCATGAGTTAGGAAGCTATCAAGATCAAATGAGCCATGGTTCGGTTTTTCTAAGATGCTGGTAGTGAAGGTGGAGGGTGGGGCCAAACTGTGGATCCACAGTGCTTTGAACATGGCACCTATAGAATTTGTTGAATGACAACATGTGGGGACACCAGTCACAGAAGTTTTTTTGTTTTTAAATAGAGGCGAGACGAGGTCTCACTATGTTCAGCCCAGGCTGGTCTCAAACTCCTGAGCTCAACTGATCTTCCCACCTTGGCCTCCCAAACTGCTAGGATTACAGGTCTGAGCCACCACACCCAGCCACAAGGGTTTTAAATGAGGAACATTTCAGAGCGAAGACTCCTGACAGGGGTAATGAGACTTCTAAGTACTTTGTTGTAGAGAGGAGGAAGGGTGGAGAATAGACATACAAAGCCACTTATGAAGCAGGCACAAAGAGAGTATTGGCCAGGCAGGGGTTACTGTCTTGTCTTTTTTTTTTTGAGATGGAGTTTAGCTCTTGTTGCCCAGGCTGGAGTACAGTGGCACGATCTTGGCTCACTGCAACCTCTGCCTCCTGGGTTCAGGTGATTCTCCTGCCTTAGGCTCCTGAGTAGCTAGGAGTACAGGTGTGCATCACCACGCCCAGCTAATTTTTTTTTGTATTTTTAGTAGAGATGGGATTTTACCATGTTGGCCAGGCTGGTCTCAAATTCCTGACCTCAGGTGATCTGCCTACCACAGCCTCCCAAAGTGCTGGGATTACAGGCGTGAGCCACCACGCCTGGCCCAGTATCATATTTTAATCTAAACTTAAAGGAAATTGAGATTCTATGAGTCTGTTTACTGGGAATGGCAAGAAAGAGGGGAGATGGGAGTCTCTCTAAACCTATTCTGGTTCTAGAGGCTGCTCAATTCACACAAAAAAGAGAAATAATGAAACATGGGGGGAAGAAATTGAAGAACTAGCAGTGGAGACTTTCAGCCCCAGAACTTTACCATGTGAATGTCTTTTTTGTTTGTTTTTGTTTTTTTGAGACAGAGTCTAGCTCTGTCGCCCAGACTGGAGTGCAGTGGCACAATCTCGGCTCACTGCAACCTCTGCCTCCCAAGTTCAAGCAATTCTCCTGCCTCAGCCTCCCAAGTAGCTAGGATTACAGGCACCCGCCACCACGCCCGGCTAATTTTTGCATTTTTAGTAGAGGCGGGGTTTCACCATGTTGGCCAGGATGGTGTCGAACTCCTGACCTCGTGATCTGCCTGCCTCGGCCTCCCAAAGTGCTGGGATTGTAAGCCCCTGCGCCCGGCCTCACCATGTGAATGTATTACACTGACAAAATAAACGTGACAAAATAAAACTGCATATTGATAAGATAAAGGTGTAATTATTGGAATAGTGGTAGTGTTCTAGTACTTTCTTAAGCAAAAACATGGATAAATGATTTCGTAAGTGCATATTTTATACATATACATGTGTTTTAGCTTTTATAAAAATTGCAGAATATAACAAATCCAAAAAAAAAGTCTAAAATATAAATGTATAGTATCAAAAAAATTCTCAACCACTACCCAGGCCATGAAAAAGCAGAATGCCTTCCAGAGTCCTTCCTGACACTCTCCCCATGCTCTGAACTCCTAAAATTACAATACTCATTTCCTTTCACGATATATATATACACACACACATATATATACACACACGTACATGTGTGTATTTACATATATACACACATATATATACATATAGATTTTTGAGACAGGATCTTGCTCTGTCTCCCAGGCTGGAGTGCAGTGGTGCAATCACAGCTCACAGCAGCCTCAACTTCCCAGGCTCAAGGGATCCCTAATTTTTTTTTAATTATTTTTTGTAGAGATGGGTATTACAGTGTTGCCAGAGCTGGTCTCAAACTCCTAGACTCAAGCGATCCTCCTGCCTTGGCCTCCAAAAGTTCTGTGGGATTACAGGTGTGGGCCATCATGCCCAGCCTATATTTTTATTTATAACCTTTGTATGCATCTGGGAAATTTTGTAGAAATCTTTTCAAAAGGAAGTTTAGTCCGGTAGAAAGAGTGCAGATTTAGGAGTGAGGAAAACCAATTTTGAAAGGCCAGGCCTGCTATTTACTAACTGTGTGACTTTGGGCAAGTCATTCCCCCTCCTCCAGGCCTTTTTCTCATCTGTATATGCAGATGAGACTATCCACCGGTTCCAGGTTTGTCATAAACATTCAAATCATGAACATTTATATAACAAGTTTATTGAGATCTCCTGAGACTTAAACCCTGTAGAAAACAGATGAATCAGACCCAGGCCCCATTCTCAGGAAGCTCACAGTGTGAAAACAGGTAACTACAAAAACACAGCCAATAAGTGCTTTCAAACAAGGAAGAACATAAAAAGGATGTAGTGTTTGAAAACCTGGAATCAAAAACTAACCGCAGAGAAAGGTAGGAGGATGTTCTAGACTCCCAGAGAAGAGCTGGGGAACATCTAGAAAGGCTCTTGCTGCAGACACAGCCATGTCCCCCTAGGTCTTGGAGTTCACTGCAGGCTGGCCCATTGCAGGGAGGTGTAGACCACCTTACCATCAGGCTGCGGAGAACAGAGGAGCAGGGTCTTTCTGACGCTGGTTCCAAGGCGCCCAGCAGCAACCAGGTCCTGGAGTGGGATGGGGTCCTCCGGGGCCCAGCACTGAGCGATGTAGTGGGCATGGAAGCGGAGGGGGTCACCTGGGGGAGGGAGAGAAGCACTGAAGCAGTGACCAATGGCAGAGGGCTGGATGCCACAGGAACGACCACTGGGAGGAGATTTGAGATCATTTCAGCAATCACTATGGATACTCTAAAACAGATGCTCTTGGACCCAACTATTCCGCTCTAGCCTTTTTTTTTTTTTTTTTTTTTGAGACGAAGTCTCGCTCTTATTCCCCAGGCTGGAGTGCAATGGCACGATCTCAGTTCACTGCAACCTCTGCCCCCTGGATTCAAGTGATTCTCCTGCCTCAGCCTCCCGAGTAGCTGGAAATACAGGCGCCTACCCACCACACCCAGCTAGTTTTAGTATTTTTAGTAGAGACGGGGTTTCACCATGTTGGCCAGGCTGGTCTCAAACTCCTGACCTCAGGTGATCCACCTGTCTTAGCCTCCCAAAGTGCTGGGATTACGGGCGTGAGCCATGGCGCCCAGCCTGATGTCTAACTACTTCTAAGCGAATCTTCTGGATCACAGTAAACATTTAATAAAAGTTGCTAAACTGCTTTCCCAATGAGTTCAGGAGCTCCAAAATGTTTCCTGTCCGTCTATGAATTTCAGAGGCTAAGAGAAAGTGAGACAAAAAAAAAAAAAAAAGAAATGCAGCTGGGCCTGTAATCCCAGCACTTTGGGAGGCCGAGGTGGGAGGACTGCTTGAGCCCAGGAAACGGGACCAGCCTGAGCAACAACAGAGACCCCATCTCCATTAAGACAAAAAAAAAAAAGAAAAAAAAAACGCAGAATACATTGGGATTGTATGGAAAGGCACAGCAACCAGAGGCCCCAACCCAAACTCACCAGGATAGACCAGGAAGTCACCTCCGAACTTGCCAGCCGCACTGAGGAAGAAGCCTCTCTCCCACAGGTCTCTGTAAATGCTGTAGCGCAGCTCATGGGCAGGGCGGCCGGCGTGGGGCCAGTCTTTAGACTGGACACGCCAGTCCAGGGGCCTGGCCTTGACAGGTCGAGGCCTGGCAGTGGCCAGCTGGACAAGGAGAGCAGATCTGGGCAAGGGGGCTACCCCATTTGAGGGCTCTGCTTGGGAAGAGGAGGGACCTGGTGGGGAGTACAGAGAAGAGTTTGGTAAATCCAAGGGGCAAAGTCTTCTCACCCTCAGGGAGACCCAGGCACTGGATTCCCAGCTAAAATTTCCAAAAGATCTCTCCTCTCCTTCCCGTGGTTCCTGGACTCCACCTCCCATACTCACCGGCTTCCTCCTGCTCTCCCGAAGCCTGGCCATCACTGGTCTCGTTCTCTTTGGCAGCCTGGCTCCAGCCGGCCTCATGGCTCGAGCTGGCCCCTGAAGCCTGTTCTAGTTTCTGCTTCTTGGCAGCCTGGCCCTCCGTAATCTTCTCCAGGAGCTCCTGACGACGGGTCTCCCGGGCCTCAGCTGCCAAGGCGCTCTGCTCCTGGAAGCTCTCCTCTTGCTGGCGCTTGAAGGCTGTCAGGGCCTGAGAAGCACACGTCGCTGGAACCTCCAAGCTTAC